CGAGGTTAAGGATGAGTTTTACAGAAAGCTCTCGGACCTCCTCCAAAAAGCTAGGCGCTCTGATATAGTAATAATGGCTGGTGACTTTAATGCTCAAGTAGGTAGACTAAGTGAGCAGGAGAAACACCTAGGTGGATGTTATGGTGTCGCGGCTCAGAGAACAGACAATGGTGACCGTCTGTTGCAAACATGCTCAGACAACCGCCTATTCTTAGCAAACACTAACTTTAGGCATAAGGAAAAGCATCTGTTGACCTGGCGACCTCCAAAGTCGTCTCAACGTTGGACTAAACTAGATCACATCGCCATCAGCCACCGATGGAGGGGTTCGATAGAGGACTGTCGCTCGTTCTGGGGCACATGCCTAGATTCAGATCATGCCCTAGTGCGAGCACGTATTTGTTTGAAGCTTACTGGGCGTAGGAAAGACACCGTAAGAAAGCCTCTTAGGGTTTTACTTAATGATAATAAGGCGAAAAATATATTTCAGGAACAACTAGAAAGACAGTTAGGCGACCATTTAAGCGATTCCTATCCGGAAGCAGGATGGAATGATATCAAAAAGGCTGTGGAAACAGCACTGATATCTGCTAGTAAGGTTGACCATAAGGCTAGAATGAAACCGTGGATCTCAGTAGCATCCACCGATCTGATGGATGCTCGAAAACTCATCCCACCTGGCTCAAAACATGATGAAGAACGAAGTCAACTTAGGCGCAGACTTATGAAAAGCCTACGTAACGATCGCGAACAGTGGTGGGTGGCGAAAGCAAAAGCGATGGAAAAGGCAGCGGCGATCGGCAACAGTAGACAACTTTTCCGACTTATCAAGGAAACTGGTATTAGGAACCCTAGTGTAAGTGAGACTATCTCAGAATATGACGGGACTCTTATTTATTCTCAATCCAGGAGACTGGATCGATGGGCAGAACACTTTAGGGATCAGTTCAACTGGCCTCGAGCCACTCTTCGGTTACCCACGATCTCCAGTCATCCTGAATGGCAAATCGACCTACGTCCCCCTAGTCTTAATGAAGTTGAAAAAGCGTTAGGAAATCTGAAGCGAGGACGAGCTGCGGGTCCTGATAGACTGACCCCTGAGATATTTAAGGATGGTGGTTCAGTTTTAGCAGCTAGGTTGACTGAGATCTTAGGTAGAATCTGGGAACTGGACATAATCCCATCCGAATGGTCTCAATCACTGATTGTCCCAATCTATAAGAAAGGACAAAAGTCTTCTTGTGACAATCACAGAGGAATAAGTCTAACTAATATAGTATCTGAAATATTGGCCTCAGTAATACTTCGACGCTTAACGAAAGCTCGTGAAGAGCAAACTCGAGAAAACCAGGCTGGTTTTCGACCTGGACGTGGCTGTATAGACCACATTTTCACACTACGACAGGTCCTGGAACACAGACACACATTTAGGCGTCCTACAATAGTTGTTTTCCTGGACCTTAAGGCGGCATTTGACTCTGTGGATCGTGAGGTTCTGTGGCAGTGTCTGTCATTGAAAGGTGTACCAAATAAGTACATTAACCTCATACAAGCTCTCTACTCAAACACCACTGGTCGAGTGAGAGCTTATGGCGAACTGTCACCGGAATTCTCTACTTCAAGTGGTGTCCGTCAGGGATGTCCACTTTATCCATTCTTGTTTAATTTTATCATAGACATGCTCCTAGAAATTACCTTATCCTTGTCTGAATTTTCTGGAGTAGACCTTTTACTGGGTGGCTCGCTTATTGACCTAGAATATGCCGATGACATTGTCCTACTTGGTGAAGACGCTGACAAAATGCAGAGTCTTCTGACTACCCTAAGCAACAATGCAAGCATGTTCGGGATGCGGTTTTCCCCCTCGAAATGCAAAATGTTGCTTCAAGATTGGGTGTCATCGGCACCTGAACTAGTGATAGGGAGTGGAGTGGTCGAACATGTAGACCGCTTCACTTAACTTGGGAGTCTCATCAGTGCTGATGGCCTGGTGACTGACGAAATCTCAGCACGGATACAGAAGGCTCGATTGGCTTTTGCCAACCTGCGTCACTTATGGCGTAGGCGAGATATCCGTTTGCTGACTAAAGGACGAGTGTACTGCGCAGTGGTTCGCTCCGCCTTACTTTATGGCTGTGAAACATGGCCAATGAGAGTAGAAGATACTCGTCGGTTATTGGTTTTCGATCATAGGTGTCTTCGAAGCATTGCTCGTATATCGTGGGACACCCGAGTGAGCAACGCTGTTATTAGGAAACGGGTACTAGGTAAGAATGGCAGATCAATCGATGAAGTGGTGAAACTTCATCAGTTGAGGTGGTTGGGACATGTGTTGCGTATGCCAAACCACCGACTGCCTCGTCGAGCTTTGTTTTGTGGTGTAGGAATAGGTTGGAAGAAAGTTAGGGACTGCCAGACCAAAACATGGCATAAATCCATGAAGTCATTGACGAGTGGACTTAGCCATGTTGGTAATTGTCGACTACCTGGTTGGGGTCCGCGAGATGATAATAATCGATGGTTAGAGACCTTGGAAGACATGGCTCAAAATCGTTCGCAATGGCGCCAGTGCATTTATTCTTTGTGTTCTCTCAAATCCTGATCTTCTGGGTTCTTCAACACCTCTAGCTTTTACTTTCTAAACTTATCTCATTGAATCATACTTCGTGAATAATATCTTGTAATTCTAACGTCTACGATTACTTCTAATACCTTTACTACCTCTTCTACTATTGGATTTGAATTGAAAATTATATCTCTGTGCTGATGTGGTATGGCGACATGAACTGATGTACTTACGTACGAAGTTCTACGTTGCAACTGACTGACTGATTGTCTTTACTGTACATCTCTGGTCTATACATACACGTCCAGGTCTAAACCCAGGCTGATTTTCCCGGGTCTACCCTTCACGAGCTCTAGTTAGACGTTTCAGTATTACCGAGGCTAACATTTTAGACACTATTTTAGTCAAACTGATTCCTCTGTGATTGTCACAAGTGGACTTTTTCCCTTTTTTCACAGACCAGGACGACCAGTGATTACGATAAGTCGAATGAAATTACGTCCAGTTCCCAAATCCTACCTAAGATCTAAGTCAGGCTAACTGCTAAAGCCGGACTACCATCCATAAATCTTTTGATGGTCGATCCGTCAGGGCATGCTGCTCTCCCTCGCTTCCCATTCCCCATAGCCTTTTCAACTGCCTTACTGGCAGATATCACTGCTCTTTCCACAGCTTTCTGGACATCATTCCAAGATGCCTCAGAGTAGGAATCACTTACGTGGCTGTCTAACTGTCTTTCTAGTTGCTAATGAAATATATTCTTAGCTTCGATTTCTCGTTCTTACATCCAGTAAGACGCAAACAAACGCGCGCTCACACCAGAGTATGATCTGAATCTAAACATGTGCTCCAGAACAGGCGACAGTCCTCTATGGAGCCTCTCATGATCGCATTTGTACATTGATGCTACTCTACCATACTCTTGATACAACCCCTCTAGAAAGGCGGACCGTGATCAAACTAGCGGGCGCTAAACAAACACGAACATCGGTTCATGATGCCAGTGATTGTCACGCTCTCTTCTTCGTAGATGTAGACTATCTAGTTGGAGCTTGTGCGATTATCGTAACCCGTTGTTGATCGAAATGGCTCGAAAATGATCACACTGATGTGGACGCATTCATCCAATGTCTTTACTGTACTCCTTGAGTTTCAAAATCACCTTACACTCCTTCCTCCCATGAATTCACTTCCAAATCATACCCATCACTAAACTTCCCTACCCTACCACCAGTGACATTGCCACCCTGATATATATATATATATATATATATATATATATATATATATATATATATATATTGGTAATCACACCACGCTAAATTAGTGTGCTGCAGCTCAGGCCAACGCACATATGCCATCATACGTTAATGACTAGTGAATGAGTCGAATATAGAGCTCTAACTACATAGAAGTAGGAGCACATACATTTAGTTATACCAACTGATATAAGGAAGTGCATACTAATAGGAATCCAAATTTGGAAATATATAGATGAGATGCGACCAAAATAAACGATAAAGAATGGAATAAAATGCGTGATTAATTATCTGGCATCCACACAATACTGCCTAATCAACGAAATACTTTTTTTAGCAATTCTTCACTAGTGTAATTTTGAATGGAAATAAGCAGACAGTCATACCATAAAGTCCTAATAATTGGTTTCGGCCAACATGTCAGGGAATTCGATATAACCCGTGTTATTTTTAATCCAATGCACAGTGCCTCATTATATAGCCTATTCCAACCTCGATCGACGAAGGTAACTAACGGGATGTCGGCATCGTGAATGACTCTTGTGTGATAGCATCAAGTGTTTTTCAATACAAAACATCATTTTGGCTCTCTAACCTGTCTCGTGTGGTGTTGATTAATAGCTATTCCAGAGGGTTTCACGTTTAGATACCTGAGAACTGGATCTTTATTGTCACTTCTTAGCAACGTTCTCTGTGAACCGACCCGCCGACCAAATACGTTAATAGACGTGCTGCTAATTTATTAGTAATCGACATTCCTCACACTGCATTGAGGTGACAACTCTTTGTACGACAACCGTATGTTCAAACAGTTACACGAAGATACTCACGACCTATATTTAGTACTCCGTAGGCTGCTCATTTAAGGTTACTTTTTGCGATTGTCAGAAATGACATGACTAACTTAAAGCAATTATTAATTTGGTTTTGGATGGGTAATGAACCAGTCACTCCGATCTACGTGAACTGGATGTCGCATTTTACTGACATAAATTTTATGAATAATCGGTTGAAAAAGACATTTAGTAGCCACAGAGCAAAAATGCTAGTGCGCTAACGCTTGTAATTATTAAAATGATGGCCATTGTCGCTTCATTGGGAATGAGTTCGCAGCGTTGTCAATTACTGGAAACTAGATACGCTCATGACTGACTAGGAATATAATAAGCCAAACTATAAATGCACATCTATTATTATAAAAATATAAAATGTATCAAAAATCTTCGTCTACAGAAAAATTATGAGTCGATTCGCCTCTTGCTCGGGACATAACGCCAGCACGTTGGTATTCACCAACTCGCTTCTCAAAAAAGTTCGTCTTTCCTTCTATGGAAATATTCTCCATAAAGTCGAAAGGATTGTCAGAATGATACGTCTAAACGGAAATAGTAAAAAGAAAAATCACTAACCTTTTCGTAACCAAGTTCAACTAATAGCCTATCAGCGATAAACTCAATATACTGACACATCAGTTTACAGTTCATTCCAATTAAGCTGACCGGTAGGGCTTCAGATAAAAACTCTTGTTCGATCAGAACCGCCTCTTTTAAGATAGATTCAACACGCTCCTTGGAGGGTTTTCCGATAATGTGTTTAAACAGCAGACAGGCGAAATCACAATGTAAGCCCTCGTCTCTACTGATTAATTCATTGCTAAACGACAACCCAGGCATCAGACCTCTTTTCTTAAGCCAAAATATAGCTGCGAAGCTACCAGAAAAGAAAATACCTTCTACTGCTGCAAAAGCAACTAAGCGTTCTGCAAAGGTAGACTTGGAATCACCAATCCAATCGAGTGCCCACTGAGCTTTTTTTGCTACACAAGAGAGGTTGCTTATTGCGTTGAAAAGAAAGTCCCTTTCTTTAGAGTCTTTGATGTATGTATCAATTAATAAAGAATACATCTCAGAATGAATGTTTTCGATAGCTATCTGCATCCCATAGAAACAACGAACCTCTGGGATCTGGACCTCCTGACTGAAGCGTTCCAAGAGGTTTTCCAGGACGATCCCATCACTCGCAGCAAAGAAGGCCAACACATAGGATATAAAGTGACGTTCACCAACCTTGAGCGACTCCCAATGTACGAGATCTCTGGATAAGTCCACTTCTTCTACAGTCCAAAACGAGGCTACAGCCTTCTTGTAGAAATGCCATACATCTTGATATTCTATGGGGAAAAGGACGAAACGGTGTGGGTTCGGTTTAAGCAAAGGTTCTAGGTCCATTTCGCTTTTCGTGACGGACGACTGTTTGCCATAACTGACTTCCTGAAAGTACTTTAATTACGAAAGAAAGTCGTTTACTTTCTCGACAATTCCCGGGATGTATTCTTTCTTTAATTAAAAGGTTAAGTATGAGAAAGAACAAACTCACAATATACTTAGAGAGTTCATTTTCTTTGTTCGAATCAGACGTCATAATCAAATCAAAGCAGAACACAGCGCTTCCTATTCTCGCTTTAGCTCGACTAGTTGATATAAACGAGAAATGACCTTTAATTTGCTATACAATTTCCCCATTATTAACGAGTTATCAACCACAAGTCTATTTTTTTCTGACTATAAAGAGTTAATTTACTGAGACTTTCTTCATATCCGTAGAATATCATTGCGAACGGATCACGTGGTAAGTTGACGGTTGGACATTATCGACAGGAATCCCTTTACCTAGGTTTTGTACGATTTAGTGCTCATCAGCAGCGTTTACCTCTAATCTTCTGTGAATAAATGCTCACAAGAGAATTAGACCCCGCATCATCCAGTCTTACTGTCAGAGAAGAGATCTATCAGACGTGATGTATAACCTAGTTCTGCTGAAGCCATGTTGTGAGGAGTCAGTGAAACCTTCTTTGTTTAGATAATTGATCATTTATCACTTTCTCCACTACCTGTGGGATAAATGGGATGATATTAATTGGTCTGTAGTTTTGGATTAAGTTTATCATCCCTGATTTCCAGGTTTCGGCGTATGTTCTGCTCTATGGATAATGAAAGTATCTTGAGCAAAAGTGCCAAAATGTTTGATCCTGCAGTTTTAAGGGGTATGGATGCTACTTCATCCACACCACAGCTAGCCTTTGGTTTGAGGTTTCTCATGGCCACTTGAATACTGTTAAGGTCAAAGTTGATGGTATTGAGATCATTCGTACTGCTGCAGTTAAGATTAATATCAGACGTAAGGGATGTCTTCTGAATGAGGGAAAACCATGTACTAAACAGTTCTTAAGCAATAGTGTGATCATGACACGTCTCTTCGTCATGCAGAACGGGATGAATTTTGTAGTCTGTGCTCTTCGTAATGCGTTTGTTAAGCAGACGACTGAGATTTCGAGGCTTATATGCAGTAGCTAATGTATTACTTTCCTCTATTAGCTGACGTATTCTATGTATTTTTTCACACCCCTAAGTACAGAGTATATCTTATACAGGTGTGAAGTCCTTAGATATGCATTATGCATGTATTGGTTAAAGTGACTTAGCCCTATTTTTATGGGTGATATAAGGAGTCCTTGTCTTGAAAAAGGTTTTGGAGGGGATAGTAGTGTCTGGTGAAGATTCAGTGGTGACATTCAATATGTGTAATGTTTCAGAGAGTTCAAGGCTGGTAAAGATCGTAGTCCAGTTGAAGTATTGAATAAGAAACTGGGAGCTGTTCCTGTCAGCATGTTCGTAGTCTCTTTATTGAAACGCAGACCGCTTCAGATGTCGGTGTGACATCATGACAAAATACGGAGTCGAGATTGTTGTCGTTCCTTGTTCGCACGTGTACATGTTGTTGTCGACCATTTAAGTCTAAGGTACTAAGTATGCCTTCAAAGCCTAGTGAACAGAAATGTGTCTTCCAGTTGATTCCATGAAGAATGAAGCTACCAAAAAAATTTTTCAGGCGAATTCAAGAAAGGCAGCCCTGGAAAACGACTCACCAATAGCGATGTCAATCTATCAATGAGTGTTTGTAGCTCGATAATGCATCCAATGAGTATTTTACGTTCATGTGTATGCACAGTGTGCCATATCGAATCAGGAACTTTATTAAGAACAGTATTACTAAACATTTCTGCTTCGATATTTCTAGATGTACAGACTAGACAACTACCACTCTTTTTAGAGCCTCTGTCAACCCGAAAGAGTTCATGAGAATCTGCTACAAGATATGAGCCTAGGAAGGTGGAGGACAACTTACTTTCGGAAATCTGGACAAGAGAAGGATTTAAAACAATTAGTCCCTTTTATAAATTTTGATAGAACAGTGAGAAGACGTAATTGATCTGAAAAATGTGATGTATTTGCGCTATACATTTCGAACAATCTGGTCACACATATTTACTTGTCAAGGCATTTTATATGAAGGTGAATAAAAGGTCAATTGAATAAAAGTTCAAATAGACATAGGGTGATAATTGTAAATAAAGGAGAGAGAAAATTAACGTAATATGAAAAGAATAAGAAGGGGTAGGAAAATTATCACATTACCCTAGGCTTAAAGATTACCAAGGTAAATTCAAGGTTATGACAAATTTACCTTGGTAATCTTTAAGCCTAGGGTAATGTGATAATTTTCCTACCCCTTCTTATTCTTTTCATATTACGTTAATTTTCTCTCTCCTTTATTTACAATTATCACCCTATGTCTATTTGAACTTTTATTCAATTGACCTTTTATTCATCTTCATATAAAATGCCTTGACAAGTAAATATGTGTGACCAGATTGTTCGAAAGAGAAGGATTGTTCAAAATTACGAGGACGAGCAGGTGAGTCCTATTATTTATTACAGATCGGATGTAGTTAGCACTAGTGTTACATACGGTGGGTGCTTATCTTTAGGGGAAGCACGATGAGCATCAGGTGAGTTAATAATAATAATTATTATTATTTATTCTCAAGTGACATCATGTTACAAGAGGCATGCCAATTTACAAGATCAAAATGTTGAAATTGCCAACAACTTTTCCGTAAAAAGTTGTTCACTTACTGAAATATTTTATAAGATACATCTACTTCATCTATATGACTAAAATTTTCCACATAAAATTATAGATAACTTTCCAGACTCTGCAATGTGCAATGCCAATAATTGGCGCGAGTTACGAGGAACTTCTAATGGCTGCGAAGCAATGCAAGGTAAAGCCAGGTCTGCATACATTAAGAATTGGTGAGGTAAATGTGCTGCGATCTTTTTGATATTCGTCAGCATATATTTTTACAGGCGCGTGGGTAAAGTAGCCAAGTATTTGGCAAATATCCAGACTAATATTTAAGGATTGGAATAAAGTGCTGAAAAAATAAATTAAAGAGAAAGGAGGTGAGGAGCAGAACAGAAAATATTCTTGTTTAAAGCCGAATAATGGCTCAGAAGATACTTAGAATAAAACGAACGTATGATTACTCAAACTTTTTTATGTTAGAACAATAACTATTCACCTGCACTCATGTAGGTGGGTGAAGACAATTAATTAGTAAGATAACGAGTGGGTACTTAATCGTATGAACACAGGAAACTCAGAAGAACCAGACTGAAAGCATTATTGTTTTTTTACAGAATATAACCATGAGACACAGTGACCCGATGCTTTAGTGATACTTAATTTATTCTTTTTCTTTTTAACTCTGTAGCTCAAGAAGTCATATGTGAGCACTTTTTGGTCATAATTGTCCAGATCTGTTTGTGATAGGATTTGTTGCTAGGAAGTTAAAACCAGTGCAGGGTTACGAATATCATTGATTAGTTACATCCCGATACATCTTAACCAGCCGCAAGAAAACAAAATGTTCTGCCCCGCAGACATGGGTAGATTGATGTTATCGCCCCACCGTCAGATACACCGCCCTCCCTCCCGTGTTTATAGTGTATTGTGAAGAAGGGGAGGAATTTGAAATATAGGCTTTATGGCTATGCTTCGTTGATTTGTGAACAATATGGTTAACGGGAGAGAGATATCCAGAGACTTCTGTGGTGGTAGAATAATATGAGGCAGAATATGGTAGAAATCTTTGTTCAAAGTTATTCATGACCCACGAAGAACAGGTGATGAAGTCGCTGGAGAGTATAAGGATCCATTGTTCCGAAAATCCATTGGATTAGGTGCAGTGGGGTAGGTCAAGATGGTGAAAGACATATAAAGTGGTCGGTTAGAAGGGGTTTACAGCATTAAAGATTGATTGCCATCGATTAGAGATCAGCTTTATAAAAGCGCAAGTTACATGTTTTAACGGAAGGACCCAACATTTGGCGGACGCTCAGTCAGGTTAGCTTTATGGGTTTTCTGAGCAACAGTTAGCATTCTAGTTTTTTTGAGTACAATCAAGGATATAGTGGCCTTTTGGTTAGCAATAGGGAGATGCCTAAAGTTTAGAAAGTTTTTATGGCGTGTTTGTCCTGGCTCATGGGAGTTTTGGGATTTACTTTTAGAAGCTTAGTAACGTCCTGAGTTGGAGTAGTAGTAAGAGGGCTTTGATGCTTACTAGGTTGGTTGAGTACTGTAGGAAAGCAGTTAAGGCGTGTAACACGGCTCTTGGGAGATTTTCTGTTCAGTTGAACCACTGGGTATTTCCTTTTATCCTTAGGATATTGTTGGTGTACTACTGGGTGCAACTGATTTGTAGTTTAGAGGTAGTTAGGCATTTGAACTCGGGACAATTCGCTCTTTCACTTATGGAACAAATCTTTAAACCTATAGTCTCATAGGATCTGTTCTCGGTTTTGGGAGGGGTAGAAGAAGGTATTGTAGATTTAAAGTAACTGTCGTGATCTCAAGTGTTACTAGTACACAAACTAGTCTACTTAGCTGGTAAGCCATTTGTGACTCGAGGTTGTATTGTAGTCCTGTCACGGATAATTCTAATCTTCTTAAATACCGGAATGCTTTTATTTAGTGACTAGTTATTAATGGAGTTATTAGCTTGCTTGATACTACTGAACTGAAGAAGAATGGGACAGGACAATTTAGTATGGGCTTAAAGTAGCCTGTGTGCTACGCACGAACAGTGGGACAATCCACACTGTTTTTTAGCAGAGTGTTTTTAACAGACTTTAGTCTTGCACTGTCAGGTATGTTACTCATAATACCATTTTGCATGCAGTGAAGCCTTCCTAACTTGTTTTAGGAAATATGGTCACTTAACGTTCCAGTATTTTTATAATTTCGGGGTCAGAATTATCTGGAACACCGATCACATATTTGTTAGGTAGTAAATCGTGAATGGTTTGGTTGACGTCACGTTCAATTAAGCCGTCCTTAGGATTATCATTGGCGAAAGTATTGGTGTTGTATTTGCAGCTGTTAGAGTTTATGAGATTGTGATCAGACTTACTATATGTGATTAGTGGTTGCCCAGTCTGAGTATATTCATCTGAGGTAATGAATATATCTGTGGGTGAGTAGTCCATAGTTACATCACTGGATTTCCTGTTGCGGAAGACTTTTCGACAATCTATGGGTTACTATAAGCTGTATTTGCTTATGGGCTCGACAAGTGTTTAAAAT